TCCTGGAGGGAGGGTTGGCTGTGGGAGAGAGAAAGGAAAAACTGCCCAGGAACAGCAGAGAACTGCCCCAGCTCTGACAGATGGAGAAACAGAGCACACACCCCCAGTACAATTTACAACTTAAAACAGTACTGATGGTGTTTCGTGGTCTCACAGGAGCTCTGCTGTGCCCTAACTCTGCTCCCTGTATCACTGCTGTGTCCCCAGGATGTTTGTTGAGAGGTGACAGGCAGAAATTTCTTGCTGTAGCGGAGTTCTTGCTGCTCCCCCCTCACCCCAGAGCACAGACTGCCCTGGATGGGAGGCTCTCAAAGTCCTGCCCCACCTGAAGGGGCTGTGCCTGCCCCTGCTGGGGTGGCTTCTCACTTGCTGTCCATCTCAGACTGGGCAGGTCCTGGGAACTGCAGGACTGATGTGTTTCTGCATCCCCACAAACTGGAAACTTACTACAGTAGCTCAGAAGGTTCTTCCATGCACATCCAGAAAAGCTGTTGAAGGAAAGGTAGGAAAAGGCTGCCCAAAACCCAAATTTCTGGAAAGGGAGGGAGAGTGTCAGCTGTTGGCATGGCTGGAAGCTGGCCATGTAACTCCTGGCAGGAGATGTGCTGAGGTGACCATTCCACAGATGATTCTGACCTCAATATGCATTGATGCTGTCAAGCTTTCTGCAGTAGAGCACTTGATTCCCTCTCTGTGCCACCCCGTGGGGACCAGCATAGCCTTACTGCATGAGCCCTGTGCTACTGCTCTTTCCCTCACAAGAAAAAAAAAATCAATTTTCTAGTAATAATTTGAGGCAGTAGAATTATTCTTAGGAGTAATAAAAGAGCAAGTTAATTTTTACTTTTTCTCTGTTTTTCTGACAAGAGACACTGTTCCCTCTCTGCACAGGTGGCAACTTTTGTTGGCCCAGTTACTGCCATCCCAGTCCTGCTGTTCTCTGGGTTTTTTGTCAGCTTTGACACCATCCCAACATACCTCCAGTGGATGTCCTACATTTCCTATGTCAGGTACTGCTGGGGAGCCCTTCACCCTCCCATCTGGACATGCTGCTTGTTTGCCTTGGCTTGATTGCTTGCTTGGTTATTTTGGGTGCCAAAGGGACTGTTCACGGCGTGTTCTCTTAGAGTATGAACACACTCATACATGTGATGTAAACTACATTATCTGTCTGCATTTTAAGCTGTTGATGTTGGGAAATAAATAGGAGCAGGTTGCTGGCCACAATTCCATGTCAGTCCCTTTGAATTCAGTGGGATTGCACAGCATAGAAATCTTCCTGGATTTTGCAGTAGTGGATGCATGAAATAATAGGGACATCACCAACTGAGAAATTGATGCCAGCACCTCATTGGGGAAGAAAATGTATAATTCACTGATGTATCCTAGATAGGTTATTTGGATAAAGGCCTGGCTTTAAGTTTTGCAGTAGCACTGCCACAAGAGGCACAGGATTTGTGTCACCTCTAATTTAAACTGCTGCTTTAAGATCCATAGGCACATTATAGTGCCTGTGCCTGTGTCTGACTCAGCTGTCTTAGGATGGGGCAATTCCCATCAGGAAACCTCTGGAGGGATAGTTTAGACTAGAGACTGAAATGGTTTTAGCTGAAATTAGGAGAGGGGAATTTTCCCATTCCGCATTTCCCCACCCTGCACTGAGAAATCCCAGGCAAAAAAAATCTTCTTTGTTGCCAAGTGAGGTCTTACACAGATTCCTATGAAAGATAATGAGACTGCACCCCCTGAAATAATACAAAGAAATCAAGGTAAGACCTTAAATCATTGCCTGGCTCATGTGGGGTCTCCTGAAGCCAGAGGGAGCTTTCATAGACATGAGATCCATGATGGTTTATCTCCTTGCAAAAGCAAATACTGGGAACATTAGCAGTGAAGCTGTGAATATACAGAGGGAAGGAGAAGGGACATTCTAGATTGATGCTGGTTTTAACATTTTTCTGACTTCAAGCCATAATTGTATCCCTCTGGTTTATTAAAAAAAAAAAGGCAAAAAAATAATGATCTCAATTTTAAATGGGGAATTTCTGAATATGAGCTGAAATCATGCTGCTGCTTTCTCATTTGATATTTTTCTTTTGGAGAAATTGCTCTATGCACTAACATGAAATCTATGCTGATTTATCTCCTTGCAAAGGCAAATACTGGGAACATTACCAGTGAAACTGTAAATGTACAGAGGGAAGGAGAAGGGACATTCTAGATTGATGCTGCTTTAATATTTTTCTGACTTCAAGACATAATTGTATCCCTGTTGCTTATTTAAAAATAAAAAGAGGTAAAATAATGAAGTCACTTTTAAATGAGGAATTTCTGAATATGAGCTGAAATCATGCTGCTTTCTGATTTAACATTTTTCTTTTGGAGAAATTGCTCTGTGCCCTAACTGGAAGCATTAAAGGCAAAGCTCTTGCCCTTGTTCCCTCTTACATAAAATGCCCATGACACGTGATGTGCCCGACTGCAGCAGGGATAGAACTTGCCCCAAGACAGATGTGTCAGAGCAATATTGACCCCCTCAGCGTTTCAGCTGAGCTCTCACAGGGGTTGTGTTGCCCTTCCCACCAGATCACCAGGATTTCCCTTGTAATCCCTCCTTTCTCCCTCCAGATACGGGTTCGAAGGCGTCATCCTCTCCATCTACGGACTGGATCGAGAAGATCTGCACTGTGACAAAGATGACACCTGCCACTTCCAAAAATCAGAGGCCATCCTGAAAGAACTGGACGTAGAAAATGCCAAACTTTACCTGGACTTCATTGTTCTTGGGATTTTCTTCTTCTCTCTGCGCCTGATTGCCTATTTTGTGCTCAGATACAAAATCCGAGCGGAGAGGTAAAGGAGAAGCAGCTGAACCGAGGCAGTAGGAGAACTTTAGGCATCAAATAGAGGGCACTTGACATTGTCTCACTGTGGCAGGCTGGTCCCCAGGCTGGGGACAGCCAGATGCTGTCCTGACTGAGCCCATGGAGAGCCACAATGGGATAGTGGACATCCAGTGTTAAGCCAATCAGTCCAGTTGGGTTGGGTCATGTTTTCATTACACTTTCTAGCTTTAACTAGGAAGAAGAACTATAGAAGGGAATTTTACACCACAGGATATCAATGCAGAGGCAGTGTAACTGTCACAAGAAACCTGGCTGCAGGAGCTTTCCTTATGAAAACCAATTTTGGGATAAGGTCACCAGGATCCTGGTGGCCAGAATAGTGTAATGTCATCTCTAGCTGACAGATGATAGTGAGATGCAAAATGAGAAATGCAAAGAAAATAAGATTATCTCATCTTTTTAAATTTCATCTTTGCAGTTTTCTATGTATTATTTTGCAATTCTTTTCCACAGAATTACCCCCTTCTGGCTAAAAGTCTGTAAATGTATTAATAAGGTAAAGATATCTTTTTAATATGGATACTTTTTTAAAAGAAACCTAAAGCGATTCAAGTAATTATTTTTGTTTCTGTCTGAATTTAGAATTCTGGTGCTTTACTTGTCGAGCTGGTCTCATATCTGAAAACTGTAATAATAGGAGGAAAAGGCAGATTCTGAATCTGCATTAACCTGTGATCCCATTTGGAAGCAGCACTGGATAGCACATGCAGTTAGACATGGTCAAGCTGTCACTGAACTGTTGAAAAATATATTCGAAAAATATATTCTTTTGCAGTGTCTTTAAATCCTTAGTATTTGTGATATTTTGGGATACTAGCTCTGTTCATTATCTGTTTGATCTACCTCCTGCCACTGAAAAAAAATCAAAGCACTCCAAGGCTTATTTTTAATGAAATTGTGCAAGCAGGATCTGTCCCTAAAGTGATTGTTAAGGGAGTGCAAGAGCTGTCCACAGATCAGATCTTGGGCTGCTGTGTTAAAACACCTGTGATTGCCTCATCCAGAGGTGTTCATTGTATCTGCAACGCCCTCTGTGTGGGACCCTCCCAAAAACACACAAATGACCTTGAAACACTGCAGGTCTAATTGTATCAGTCGGTTTTGTTCTCATCCCTAAGCCTCCGTGCACAGCATGAGAATCAATTGCTGTGAACACCAATGAAACTGTTATTTTGGGTATCTCACCTCTGTGAATTTGGCAGCGCAAATCTGGTTCCAAGCTGATGTGAATTTTCATGGGTTTGGATTTTCAGCCTAAAATGAACCCACCATCCTCACACTGGACACCTTGGTGAGCTTTTGTGCAAATAGCAGGGCTTTCTGCCACGACTGTGAATTTATCTGGGTGTCCCAGAGGCCTGAATGCTCTGTAAATGCATTATTCCCTCCCAGACCCCTGAGTGAGGCCTGAATGTTCTGTAAATGCATTATTCCCATCAGGATGCTGAACTCTTGCAGGCTGGAGGCAGCTCAATGTTGGCAAACCGTTGAGGAGCCCAGCAGGGTAGATAAAAGGGACCTGGTTCATCTTCTGGCCCCCAGCAGTGAAAAATCCACAAACTTTTCCAAGACTCCATGGCTGTGTCTATCCTCATGAAATAAAAAATGCCATGCCCTGCTCTGTTAGTCCTCAAACAGCTGGGGTTAACAGGAGTGGGCCCTACACTGACTTTTACACAGCCCAAACACTGTTTGCAAAAGCTCTGGCTCTGCTGGGCTGCAGCTTTCCCATTTAGCAGGGAAGAAAATTGTTTCCCAGTTTTCCTGGCCCGTGCCCAGGCTCTGTTTGATTTATCAATACAGACACAGGCTGCAGGTATCTGTTAAACTCAGGACATCTGAACCAAGCCTGGGGTCTGGAAGGCTTTAAATCAAGACACATGTTTTAGGAAGGCTGGCTGAACTTTCCCTGAAAATAACGTTTACCTGTGAAAGCAAAATCAATCTTTACTGTTGAAAAAAAAAAAAAACAACAAATTCCTTGCACGGCCTCTTTGCTTAATTTTTGTTGCTGTTCTTTCTCAAAAAGCTTTTGTACAGCTCTGCAGCTTTTCCAAGCATAATCACGAGCAGGTACAAGCCTATATGGCTGTCAGATTTGAGAAATAAAGAATTTGAGCTATTCCAAATAATACTCATAGCTGTGAGCAGTTTTTAAACAAGGCACAGGCTGAAATCCATTTAGCACAACGTGCCTTGGTTATTTCAAGACTCTCAACATATTTGTGACTATGACAGGCAGTTCAAACACTTTTTGCAAGCAGACAAAGACATTTGCCAAATTCCTCTTGGGTTGCAGACTTCTGGCCCAGGCTGGGGTCAAAGAGTGTGGCATCCCTGGCACTGAGCACCTTCAGGGTTGATGTTTTTTGTGTTTACCAGCTCCATTTACCAAATACACCCTGGCAATCCCTGCAGTGCTCCAGATGAGGTGACTTTGCTCCATTCCCACACTGACATCTTGTAGGATGCTGCTCTCTCCCATCTAGACCAGTTTTAGCTGTATGAATTCCTTGGATGCTGTCTTGTTTTCTCTGCCTGTTCCTCTGGTTTCAGGCTGTCTCATTTTATGTTTTTAGCCTCCAGCATGTCCTCATGTATTATAAATTTGTGTTGTGTTATGGCAGCCAAAAATCTGGTCCTCCACGGGTGTTCCTGAGAAAATTCCTGCTCTGGGAATATTTTTATCACTCCTTTTTTTGTTAGATATGCTTTTTCCAGCCTTCAGCTGGCAGCATTTAGATGGAAGTTACTATTCTTAGAAATGCTTTCAGGCTGTAGTATCCCAGTAAAGAAGTAATTCTCTGGAGACTCAGTGATACACATAGATGAGATAATAATTTTTTCTCTCCCTCGCTCACAAATTAACTGATGATCTCTCTTTTGTCACTGCTTTGGGACTGAAGCCTTTAAAATCCATCCCAATTATGTCTTCATCTACTGCAGAGATTTTTAATGTAGTCTCAGGTTGGCTTTTTTTCTCTTTACATAGAGATAAATTCTAACAGGCTGGTACAAAACACACCCCCAGGTTAATGGGCTGAGCAGGTGCTCTTGTTGTGAGCAGCACTTAGGGAAGCTCTGGAGGCTTCACTTGGAAGAATAACAAGGCCAGCAAGATTCTGAAGGCTTCAAATGCTCAATTTTCAAATCCTCAGTTTTATAGCCATATATAAAGAGCCATAAACTCTCTGAAATCAATGCCATTATTACCATTTGAACCAGCCACAGCCTGGGTAAAGACTGTGTAAGAGGCTAAAGGTTTCACTTGGAAACTGAATGTATGATTTTTGTTGGGATTGCAGGAAGACTTTAATGTCCTGTTGACCTCCTTACTCTATTTTAACTGGGATTGCAGGAAGATTTTAATGTCCTGTTGGCCTCCTTACTCTATTTTAACTTGTTTTGAGATGTTGCTTTGCTTACTGTGTGCATTAGTTAAGACTTTAAGTCCTTCACACTTCTTTTGTTGTTTTTCTTCATGGAAGCTTGCATATGATCTGAAAAACGCTGAAGGCTCTTAAAAATAACTTGAAGCATTATTATTTACAATTAAATAAAAGATTTGGAAAGCAAATTCTACTCTTAAGAAATCGAGAAGGTTCCATTGTTACAGGTCAAAATCAGAGGCCATTCTGAAAGAACTGGATGTAGAAAATGCCAAACTGTATCTGGCCAAAGGGAGTGGGAGGACACTGGTGCTGAAATCCTTCAGCTCTCAGAATTTGGAGCACAAAGTACCTATTTTAATTAAAAGAGAGGAATATGTGCACATGTACCAGGGAGAGCTGGTTATGTAAGTGGGAGATAATGAACCTGAGTCCAAGAACTGGCTGTCTCAGGTGATTGGCAGTTCTGTCCACACTTCTGTGTCAAACTCTGTGTTCTCAGCAGAAGGGAATGTTTTATTAATCACTTGTTTCTGTCAGGAAGTGTGGTACATCCTGAACTGTGCCACCCCAGTGTTCCTCACAGAGGTGACCTATCTACACAGTGCTGGCTGGATTTTGGGGTTCTGAGAATTGGGGAAGGCCAGCAAAGCTGATATCCTGGTGGGAATCTCTTACAGACCACCCAGCCAGGATGGAGAGGTAGATGAAATGTTCAATTGGAAGTCTTTTGATTGATGCCCCTTTTCCTGTGGGAGACTTTAACTTGCCAGATGTCTGCTGGAAACACAGCACAGCAGAGAGGAAAAAATCCAGGAGGTTCCTGAGGTGTGTGGGAGGTAATTCCTGACCCAGCTGGTGAGGGAACCAGGCCCTGGTGATGCCCCACTGGCCCTGTGTGTCAGCAGAGAAGGGCTGGTGGGTGATGGGGTTGTTGGAGATGCTCTTGGGCACAGTGAACATGAAGTGAGAGGTTCTGGTTCTTGGGGAGAAGTTTTGAAAGGTTTTGAAGTGAGAGGTTTTGGTTCTTGGGGAGAGGTTTTGAGGTGAGAGGTTTTGGTTCTTGGGGAGAGGTTTTGACAAGTTCTGGTTCTTGGGGAGAGGTTTTGAAAGGTTTTGAGGTGAGAGGTTCTGATTCTTGGGGAGAGGTTTAGAGATGAGAGGTTTTGGTTCTTGGGGAGAGGTTTTGAGGTGAGAGGTTCTGGTTCTTGGGGAGATGGAGGGGTGGCAGGAGAACTTTGCAGGGCAGACTGTGCTTGAGAGCTGGGCTGGCAGAGTCCCTTGGGAGGCAGGCAGTCCCTGAAGGTCTGAGAGGTCCAGGAAGACACAGAGATTCTTAAAGAGGAATCCTAAAGGCACAGCAGGAGCAGGCCATCCATGCCCATGTGCCAAAGGACATCCAGAGGGGCAGAAGGCCTGGCCTGGCTGAGCAGAGAGCTTTGGCTGGAGTTCAGGGAACAAAACAGGGTGTGTGACCTTTGGAAGAAAGGGCAGGCAGCCCAGCAGGGCTGCAGGGACACTGTGAGGTTATTCAAGGAGAAATTAGAAGGGCCAAAGCCCAACTAGAACTTAATCTGGCTACTGCTGCAAAAGACTATAAAAAATATCTCTGTAAATAGAGCACTAAGGAGAGTCTCCATCCTTCCTTGGATTTCCTTTATTTCCTACCAGAACAGCCCCATGGGATGCAGCTGCTCAGGAATTTCTGTGTGCACATCCATTTATAATGCAGGATCATGTGAGAAGCTGTTGGGAACTTGAAGCAGGCAGAGAATGACACCTGTGTCATGTCCTCTGTGACAGCTTGTGGCAGGCTGGTCACTGCAGTGCCACACAGCTCTGGGGAGAGCATTCAGTGAGTGCTGAGTGCCACTGGAGCCTGTCAGGAGCTCTGCCATTTGGGAGCAGGGGCAGTGGCATTTTCAGAGATGGGATTCTGCTGCCCTCCTCCCAAATTCCTGTTCCCATAACCCATAACAGAGGGCTTGGTGTGGGGGATCCCACTGAGTGATTCTTGTCAGCCCACGTAGAACTCTTCATATCACATGTCTAAAAGTTTCAGTTTTGAGCCTGCAAACATGGCAAGTTTCATTTTAATTCTGTTTA